TCTATCTATCTATCTATCTATCTATCTATCTATCTATCCATCTATCCCGAAGCACTTGACAAGTCTCCTTAGCTGTGGAAACTGTTAGTAGGAATCTAAGCCCAATTCCTTCTCTACATCAGGGCTACATGGCTAACCAGGATGTCTTGGGGCAACAAGTATTTCCATCCCTCTGGATGGTCATTTGCAATCTGCAAAGTTCCTTTTCGGCTTTTTTATTATTATTATTATTATTATTATTAGTAGTAGTAGTAGTAGTAGTAGTAGTAGATTTCCTACTATATATCTTCAGGATTGGAGCCCAGAGATGGGGAACACCTCTTTGTTTTGTTTTGGTTGTTGCTGAAGAATATCAAGGAATTAGAAAAAATGAGATGAGAGGCAAAAAGTTATTCTGGGACATTCGAGGCCTGGGAAGTGGGATAATGTGGCCTAGTGGTGAGAGCCAATGTGGTACAGCGGTAGAGGGATAGTCTGCAACTTGGGAGATCCAGGTTCAAGTCCATGATGAGCCAGACAACTTACTCAGTGTGTGTGTGTGTGTGTGTGTGGGGAAAGCTTATTTGATCTGCTTGTGGAAAGATTATTTTAGTTCCAACTGCCTTGTTTTAAACTCAAGATGAACATCAAAATTTACCTTGGATGCCACAATGGAAGAGTGTTTGTTGCATTTGTCAGTTTCAGTATTAATGCCACATTATATCCAGAATAATATGTATGATATTATGTCCAGAGTCATGCTGAAGAAGTAGACTCAAGTCTAAGAAAGTTCATGCAGCCAACTTCTCTCTTTCAGATAGGGCTTGAACAGACTGCCAGAAATAATTCAGCTTGAGACCACTTTAACTGTCCTGGCTCAGTGCTAGGGAATCATGGGAACTGTAGTTTATTGTGACACCAGAGCTCTCTGACAGAGAAGCCTCAATGTCTCAGAAAAAAAATCCCATGATTCCCTAGCACTGAGCCAGGACAGTTAAAATGGTCTCAAACTGGATTATTTCTGGCAGTCTGTATAGTCCCTTAGTCTCAGAGGTGCTATATGACCCTTTGCATTTATATCCATTGTAGCCTAGTGGTTAGGCTGGAGTAAAAGTTGGGAGATGCAGGTTCTAGTCTCTACTAAACCATGACATTCAGTGTGAGGCCTACCTTTCTTTCTCTTTTCCTTCACCACTCACTTAATTGTCCTGTCTAATTAATTTTGAATTAGGGAGATAGGCTGTTTAATAGTGTTTCTGCATCATAAAATTATAGCAGTTTGGATCACTTTCATTGCCATGGATCCATCCTATGGTTTCTAGTTTTGTAAGGTACCCTATCTGAAATTCTTCAGCAGAATTCCCTGAACTAAACATGAATGCTCTCTGGCAGAGAATTAATGAAACTACAATTCCCAGAATTCCACAGGCTGGAACCATGGCAGTGCTAAAACTCTGTCTTGTGGACGCACCTTGACTCTTCAGCCTGACTTTACCTTGCAGGGTTGTTTCCCCATAAAGTGGGGAAATAAACCATGTAAAGCATCCTGAGTTCAGTGGAGAAAAGTTGTGACTAGTACATAAAATAAAATAAAGTTAAAATGTGACTAGTACATAAAACCAATTAAAAAACCAATTAAATTTCTTCAGATCTTGGAAAAGCTATAAAATAGGGTTAACACTTTGATCCTACATGTCTTGGACTGTGAAGTTAAAGGGTTTAATTCGGAACCTGTAGGTTTCTACTAAGGCAAGAGATGATGTAAAAGCATCCTCTTGTTTCCTCCAACCCTATGACAATTATTAATTCAATTGACATTCCCTAGGCTCCTTAGATATCATTCCATTTGGAGAATATGATTTTCAATTAATATTCTCTTATTATTCTCCCAAAAACATGTGTGTATATGGGCTGAATCACAGGAAAATTGGAAAGACCTAGCCCTGTTATTCTGGAAAACCAGTGTGCAAAGGGCTCTTTTAGCACCTTTGAGACATAGGTCCAAAACACACTACAGAAATAATCCAGTTTGAGACCAGTTCAATGCTAGGGAATTCTGAGAACTGTAGTTTTGTGAGACATTTTGCCTTCTCTGTTAGACAGCTCTACAATAAACTACATTTCTCAAGAT